GGTAACCACAACCCTATTGACTATATACGTGTCATAGCACAAAATTATCAAGTAGATTAATAAAAGGTTCTTTATGCCGTGGTCTTGTGTTTTTTTCTCATGTACTAATTTTGCAGCATATACTCACACATTAGCGGGTCAAAGATTGTTTTAGCAGCTATAATGAATCAAATGACATCAAAAAACTAGCACAGTGTGTTGAACATATGTTGAACAATGTAAGAAGCTTACAGAAACACTGAACATACTTTTCCAATTGGGTAGTTTATTCCAGGACTGTGTTCAAAACATTAAAGACTGAGACCTGCACGAAACAATTGATGTGCCAACAGTGATTTCTTTTTGGGAAGCAGGCATATAATTTGGGTTTCTGTGTAGGTGTACATCCTATAATCAGCCCAAATAAAAAGCTGTGTGTACAGTTCTCAGCGGTTAAAGAGTTCATTCAAAGTGAGAAATATTTTCAGTTTAGGAAAGCTGCGGATCAATAGAAGCTTTGATTTTGATGCCACTTTTGTAGCACTGTTGTAGCATTGGTTGCAGCCATCTAGTACTGTGATGAAATGGTGCTTCATATGCATCTAACATGCAGCTATTCACCATTGCCTATAACAGCAAATGTTACAAATTTTGTCACAGTATTACAGCATATAGAGAGTTAAGCCAACCTAATCAGATGCAACCCTATTGTCCAATGCAGAAATATACATAGATTGTAGAAAGCATTGCATATCATGGGAAGCTGTGGATTTACCGATTTGGTATGACAGGATATATAAAGTGGCAAGATTTTCTCCCATGTCATAATTTGCATGCCCATTCCAAGTTTTCAAGTGTGGAAACAGTTGGACAAACTACCATAATGTCCAGCTTGGATGATGATCCAACGCAGATTATCTACCTGTATGCTAAATTAATACACATTAGAACTGCTAATCTCTAGCCACTAAGCTAGGGCATTAAATTGATAACATTTTACTACGGTAATGCAAAATTCATGATAGTTTATTTCCATACTACATGTGCTGCATATGTTGTGAAAACACAACAAACACTGGTTGATATGCAGGTTCTGAGATTTTGCTTGATAAAAAATACAGGAAACCAGAAGTTGCCTTCAAGAGTTACGTGTTTATTCAGCTGAGTAAATATTGAATAAATATTTATTTATTGAATATTGAAAAAGCCTTGTTTTTATACCTACTTTGATTACATAAGCGATTCACTCGGCAAAGCTGACACACATATAAGATAGAGACTCCGCCCTTTAAGGCTGGCACACTGTAGATAAGAAGGAAGAAAGCAGAAGTAGCTAATATGTTCCCTTTTGGGTGGTTTGGATGTTACTCGCTGCAGCCAACTTGCCATGTGACAACCCACCGCAGGACAATTCAGTGGTGTGTTAATCATTTCATTCAGTTACTTTTATTATTGGTAGCCATGTTTTTGTCAAAATTATTGCAATTCTTGTTATTTTGGGATTAACTTTATTGTTATTGGCCAAGGTTCCGTCAAAATTAATTTAACTTTTTTATTGGTTGAATTCTCCCATGGTAAGTTGTCTCGTGATAAACTGGCCACAGCAAGTTGGCTATGGCAAGTTATCCCATTCCACAAGAGCTGTTAGTGATAGGAATGTTTTCCTTTGATCTTAACACAGGATGCTTCTCAAAGCATTATCCTTTGGAGAAGGGAAGATGCTTGGTAGAGTAATGGTGTGCATATGATGTTTTCCCTTTGTTTGAATAATCTGCCCATTTGTCTTATGCGCAATTCATCAAAGCAATACAAAACCTGGTAGTCATAGGAATGATTGAAGTATTAATACCACTTTACAATGCCTTGGTAAGGCCATACTTGGAATACTGCATCCAGTTTTGGTCACCACGATGTAAAAAAGATGTTGAGACTCTAGAAAGAGAAGAGCAACAAAGTTGATTAGGGGACTGGAGGCTAAAACATATAAGGAACGGTTGCTGGATTAGGGTATGTCTAGTTTAATGAAGAGAAGGACCGAGGGGGGACATGATAGCAGTGTTCCAATATCTCAGGGGCTGCTACAAAGAAGAGGGAGTCAAGCTATTCTCCAAAGCGCCTGAAGGCAGGACAAGAAGCAAGGGATGGAAACTAATCAAGGAGAGAAGCAACCTAGAACCAAGGAGAAACTTCCTGACAGAACAATTAACCAGTGGAACAACCTGCCTCCAGAAGCTGTGAATGCTCCAATACTGGAAGTTTTAAAGAAGAGACTGGACAGCCATTTGTCCGAAATGGTATTAGTAATTCTTTGATATGGAATAGTTCAAAGCTACTCAATAATAGTTAAAAGAATCACATTGGCATCTTAACAGTTTTTTAAAAGGCCTTGTTTATAACCAGTGATAAGAAAAATAATGGCACCATGTTAAAAGATAAAGCACACTGTTAAAATCCAAAGAGGGTGGCCAGATCAAGGCACGTTTGACCTGCAAACTATTTTCTAACACTCTGATTTGTACCTGGAATTTGGAGCCAAACAATCCAGTTTTGGAAAGGATAAGAAATGTGCTTCCTAGACAATTTTTTTCCTCCTTCTTTTCTCCTGTTCAGATAATGGCAATGGCTTCCTTGTAATCTGAGGGCAAACAGAATCAAGGTTGTGCTGTTACTGATTGTACCCCACTTAAATCACTGGCTACCTCTCACAGCACTTTCATGAAGGTGTTGAACATGGATAGGATTGTTCCTTCTGGGGACACCACAAGCTTTTACTTAAATGGTAAAATGAATCCCCACATTTTCTTCTGCAAATTCAGGATGGATGGGAGTCAGTGATGGGGTTTCCAAAGTCCATCTACCAAGCAATTCTGTCCAGGTGCTGAAAGTCTTGCTGATGGATTGATGGAGATAGATAGATAGATGATGATAGATAGATAGATAGATAGATAGATAGATAGATAGATAGATAGATAGACAGACAGACAGACAGACAGACAGACAGACAGACAGACAGACAGACAGACAGACAGACAGACAACAGATGCAGAAGGAAACTGGGGTTCCTTTCACTGAAGAGCCCTGAAGTGTATATCTTTGCTTGGGACAATTTAAGCAATAGGACAGATGATGATGATGATGATGATAATAATAATAAAAATAATAATAATAATAATAATAACAACAACAATAACAACAACAATAAACTTGGAAGGGACCTTGGAGGTCATCAAGTCCAACCCCCTGCTCAGGCAGGTAACCCTATACCATTTCGGACAAATGGCTGTCCAATTTCTTCTTAAAAACTTCCAGTGTTGGAGCATTCACCGCTTCTGGAGGCAGGTTGTTCCACTGCTTAATTGTTCTAACTGTCAGGAAGTTTCTCCTTAGTTCTAGGTTGCATCTCTCCATGATTAGTTTCCATCCATTGCTTGTCCTGCCTTCAGGCGCTTTGGAAAATAGCTTGACTCCCTCTTCTTTGTGGCAGCCCCTGAGATATTGGAACACTGCTATCATGTCGCCCCTCGTCCTTCTCTTCATTAAACTAGACATACCGAATTCCATCAACCTTTCCTTATATGTTTTAACCTCCAGTCCCCTAATCATCTTTGTTGCTCTTCTCTGTACTCTTTCTAGAGTCTCAACATCTTTTTTACATCGTGGTGACCAAAACTGGATGCAGTATTCCAAGTGTGGCCTTACCAAGGCATTGTAGAGTGGTATTAATACTTCGCGTGATCTTGATTCTATCCTTCTGTTAATGCAGCCTAGCACTGTGTTGGCTTTTTTGGCAGCTGCAGCACACTAGAACTCCGAGATCCCTCTCACAGTTATTACTGTTGAGCAAGGTACCCCCTATGCTAAACCTGTATCTTGAAAATCCTGATTTTTGTTCTATTTTCTTCTCATTCAGGAGACTCTTGTGTCCTTTGAGGAGGTGGCTGTGTAGTTCTCTGATGAGAGTTGTCTCCCTGGATGCCACAGGTCCAGGTGCACAGGTTCAGGACCCATACAGCCATGGGTCCTGTTTTCTTGGGACCCATCTGCATAGGCATAAGAAACTGAAATAAGCATTTAGTTTATTATGTGCAAACTTGTGTGATTAAAATTGTCAGCTAGCTTGCTTTGATAAACTGACTTGGCTTTAGGACTGCAGACACTTCCTGTTTCCTTTGCTTTTTCTTGTTATTCTAAGTCAAGTTCATTTTCCAAGTATTTGCTCTTAAAAGGTGTTGAACATGGGCTGACGCAAAAAACATATTTTAAGCTTCCTAGTCACATTTCACAAGGTGAATCCCCTATTCCGCTTATAAACAAAAGAAATTTGGTTTTTTTCCCTCTTCATTTTCTCTCACAGCATTTTGAGCTTTGTCTTCCCTTTTCCGCTACTTTCTTTCCATCCTTTTGCAGTTTCACCTTTTCTGCAGTCGCGGGTGAGACGCTGTTTCCCCCATTTTTCCACCCAGGAGCCTCGTTGTGAGATAAAATTTCTGGAATGTCCACCGATTTTACCTTTTACTGCATTTTGGAATGGGTTTTCTATTCATATTTCTTTTCCTTCAGCATTATTTTTCTTCATCATGTGCTGTCACTTGGTGTTTCAAATGGTTCTTAGGCATCTAAAGCCAAGAAATTTGAGAGGGGCAGCTGAATGCATCAAACTGCCACCTGTGGAGACGCCAAAACCTTTCTTGGACAGAGAACCATAGAAAGGGGCCTTTCCTCCTACTCCCATACCCATCATCCCTACCTTCCCATTCCCCTCAGAACGCTCTTTCTCTTTCCCGCCCTTTCGGGAAATCCGGGCACGTCGCGCAGAGTCCACCAGGGGGTGCTCTCAATCTTAGAAAGGAACTGAGCATGCGCCAGATCTTCTGGTAGCTGCTAAATAAAACAAGGCACATCTTGCTCGGGGCGTCCGTAGGAAGAGGCTGCTCTTTCTTTTCTCCACCTCCCTCTGCTTTGAGCCTGGATCGGGGACTTTGCGAGAGCCGCAGAGGCTGCCGGAAAGCCTTGCGGGGACGCGGATCCCGACGAGATTCCCGAGTTCCGTGAGTGGCGTCTCTACCCGTGCAAAAGGGTCCCGCGTTGGAGGCATGCGTGGAGAAGAGCCAAGTTTTCTTTCGGAGTCCGGGGTCCCATGTTCTCCTGCCGCCCTTTCCCATGCAGGAGCCAGGCAAGGGGGCGGGGGAGCAAAGGAGAGAAATGGGGGTCCCCAGAAGGGAGGCGCCGTTTCCCCCCATTTCCTGGGGGAGCCTCTGCAGGGGGGGGAAAGCGGGAGGCTGGCCCGAAGTCCCCCTGCCGGCTCTGGGTGCAAGTCCGGGGCCCCGGGTGCTAGGACCGAGACCAGGACCGGGACCCGCCGACCTGAAAGGGGCTCTGCCGGCACACAAAGGAGGGCGACCCAAGTGGGGCTGAGACGCAGCATTCGCACCCGGTGCCCGATTGGGCCGATGTTTCCCAAACCTCTTTGAAGTCTGGGAGTTGAAGTCCATAATCTGTCTTCATTTGTCCGTGTTTGGAAAAGTGTGGATTAGGCTAAGAAGTGGGAACGTGTTTGTCGAAGTTGCATGAATCAGAAGGTCATCTTAGGCCAAGGGTAGGCAACCTTGGCTCTTTTATGACTCGGTGGACTTCAACTCCCAGAATTCCTGAGCCAGCTGTGCTGGCTCAGGAATTCTGGGAGTTGAAGTCCACGAGTCATAAAAGAGCCAAGGTTGCCTACCCCGGTCTTAGGCTGTCAGTGGTTCATTCATTCGGGTGTTTGTCCTCGGGATGGAATGTTAAATTAAGATATGTACAAACTGAAGACTGATGAATGCTAGAAAGTTATTTTCTGTTTGATTGATAGAATAAGAATTGTGTTGGTTTGAATATGAGACAGTATACATTAAGGGGGAAAGAGAGGAAATTAGTTGTGGTAACACTTCGAGATTTGTATTGATGATATTTAAATGTAATGGAATTATTGTACTCAGCTGCCACGTTGCTTTTCGAATATGCTAATGTAATATTAGAAAATTAAAATAAAAAATAAAAAAAAGAATAAACTAGGATCAGATCCTCCAAGCTTAAGAGGGTGGGCGAACATCATTTTAAGCCTAAGGTGTGTTCTTTCAACCCTGTATTTCATGTGAGCTTTGCCTGTCCGGTTGGTTAACCAGTTCAGGATCAGGGCAAATTGTGTGAAGCACCCTTCATGTTGTAGTATCAATTTGTTCCCAAAAAGAATCAGAATCAAAAAGAATAGAGCTGGAGGAGACCTCTAGTCCAGCCCCCTGCTCAAGCAGGAGATCCTGTACCATTTCAGACAAGAGGCTGTCCAGTCTCTTCTTAAAAACCTCCAGTGATGAAGCACCCACAACCTCTGAAGGCAAGCTGTTCCACTGGTTAATTGTCCTCACTGTTAGGAAGTCTCTCCTCAATTCCAGGTGGCTTCTCCCCTTGATCAGTTTCTATCCATTGTTTCTTGTCTTGCCTTCTGGTGCTTTGGAAAATAAGTTGACCCTCTCCTCCTTGTGGCAGCCTCTTAAATACTAGATTACTGCTATCAAGTCCCCCCCCTAGTCCTTTTCTCTAGATTGACCATTCCCAAATCCTGCAACCATTCTTCATATGTTTTAGTCTCCGGGCCTCTATTCATCTTAGTTGCTCTTCTTTGCACTTTTTCCCAAAGTCTCAATATCTTTTTTGTAATGTGGTGACCAAAATTGGATGCAGTATTCCAGGTGTGGCCTTACTAAGGCTTTATAAAGCAGTACTAATACCTCACGTGATTTTGATTCTATGACTCTGTTTATACAACCAAGGATTGTATTGACTTTTTGGGCTGCTGCAGCACATTGCTGGCTCATGTTAAAGTGATTGTCCACTAGGACTCCAAGATCCCTCTCACAGTGACTGTTTTTATATATATAGATAGATAGATTTTATTAGTTTTTATAGGGTTAGGGATATGTTGGGGTCAGGATTAGGGTTGGGATTTGGGTTAGGGTTAGGGTTAGGGTTGGGGTTTTTCCAAATAACATTTTCAATATTTAGCAAACAGCATAATGTCTGGGTACATGCATTTAACTAACAATAATAGATAAAGTTAATTATCATAAACAATATGTTAATCACTCAATAGCCTTCTTCTTGCTAATATATATTCAAAATTACATATCACGTTCCTTTCTCTCTGACTCGTTTTTCTAGACATTGATAGAAATTATCCCATGTTCTAATCTAAAGTACACTGAGTCTTCTTTCTCTTTAATCTTTAAAGTCAATCTATCCATTTCTGCACATTCTAGAATTTTCTTAATTAGTACTTCTTCCGTTGGTAAGTTTTCATTTTTCCAATGTTGGGCAAATACAGTTCTTACTGCTGTTAATATGTGTAGTATTAGATATCTGCAATCTTTCTCATAATTAGCTCCTATTATTCCTAACAAAAATAATTCTGGTTTAAAATCTATTGATGACCCAGACTTAGGGGACAGTATCAATTGTGAATACATGCAGATGGCCCCCGCTCTAGCAAAGGAACACCCAATATTCTAATCCACCCGGGAACATCTGGTGTCTTGGGGAAACACCCAAAAGGGAACATGCTAGCTACTTCTGTTTTCTCTCTCCTTATCTACAGTGTGCCAGCCTTAAAGAGCGAAGTCTTTATCTTATGTGTGTCAGCTTTGCTGGGTGAATTGTATGAAAGCTAAGGGTAGGGTAAATGTAGATCTTAAATTTGAAAAAAAAATTAGCCTATCCCTTTGAGGAAAAAAGAAATAGAAAATCCTCCAAATGTAAAACATTTGTTTTTTATTCCAAGTTTTTGATGGAAACTAGGACCATACTTAGCAACACACTTGCTGAACTTGATGAACAAAGAGGAAAAATAACAGCTCTCAAAAGAAACCAGCATGGCTGCATAAAGAACTCTCTGATCAATTGAAAGATAAAAAGGACAAGTATAGAAAGTGGAAAGAGGGGCACATAACTAAGTCAGAATATCAGCAAATAGCCCGAGCCTGCAAAGATGAAGTGAGGAAAGCTAAGGATCAAAATGAACTAAGGTTTGCGA